TCCGTGTAATAGCCCTTCCACTAAATCACCGTAAGAATTACACAATCAATCACAACAGAACCTTCTAATGTATTGATTTGTCTACTTACGAATGACTTGACGACAAACTCGGTTTGCGTCTATCTCCACGGCTTGTTACACCTTCTCAAAGATCTTCTTCAAGGACGTAGATTCCAATACACCTTCAAATAAAGATTCTTCTTGATCTACAAAAATATGCAGGCTGTTCAGAAGCTCATAACTCGAGATTGAACCGTTGAAATACGATCTCCACCGTTCAGATTGAAGCTCCACGAGTCCTTAGACTCCTCCTAAAATTTCAGCACGATCAGAAAAGATTTGGTACTCCAACCATCGAGAAAACCAGGGCAGTGTTTTCTGCAAAAAATCAGCAACAGTGTCTAGATTGTAACTTCGATAACAGAAGATCCGTAGCTCCGATTGACGTGAAATTTTAACACGTTGAAGCTCTATGTGTTGAGAACACCCTCTGAAAATTTCAGCAAAATCCAACGGTCGGATCTCCGGCGATGATCAAATCTGTGCGGGCTGTCCAGAGAATTTACAGTCTCAAAATCTGCACCTTGTGTTTTTCTTTTGATCGAATTTGCTACTGGTTTTTAGTAGTTTTGCACGCACCAAACCCTAAGGGAGGGTGAAGATAATATATAGAGCATATTAACCTTGTTAGAGTGTGCTTAGGAGTCTCAACCATGCCTTCCTCCTCAAGAATAGTAAACCAAGTAGGATTAGACTTTTTTCTTCAAGCTCTTTCCTCTTTCTCTTTCTTCACATGCTAGAACTCTAAGTCTAAATAAAATATCTAAAATAATTCTAGATAAATCTATTCGTTTGTTAAAAGATAATGCCAACACAATATGGAACTAACAAAATCCATGCACCATAGTCCATTGGTGGGGCCTGCCCATATATGAATTGCTCCATGATTGCCTTTCACAATCAAAATGGGAACTGGACTCTTGCTTTTGCCTTTGTAAAGAGCATCTGCTTTAATTGATCTCCCTGTGCAAAACATCTTCATGTGTCTCCATTTGGAATTTTTCTCATGATCACATCAGTGAACTTACACAATCAAGTTGATAATGAATCAACTTTTCTCCTTGTAAATGGGCAGATTTGGTTTGTAATTGTTCACTTGATTAGTAGTTCCAGGCTTCCAATGGGGAAGGTGATGTAGATAAAGATAGCCTTCCAGCAGCGGCAAACGAGTTTCCCGACCACCGGTGTTGGCGGTGCAACCCGGCAGTAGCGAGGGGGCCGGGGTCTGATCTGCAACGGTAGTTGTTGGCTTCTGTGGCGACATGGCCGGACATCAACCGGCGGCAAGTCTGAGCAGCGACGGCGGCGGGTCTAAGCAGCGGCGGATTTGAGCAGCGGTGGAAGATATCTCCTTCCGCAAGCTCTTTTGGTACTATTGATGGCTTTGGGAAGGTGGGCGGCGGCTGCAACGCTGACGGCGAACTTTGTGTCGATGGTGACGGACTCCTGCGGTAGTGACACTTGTCTTTTGTGGCGAACTTTAGGGACGGCGGCGTGGCTGCGCCGTTCTCGTGGCTTCAACGATAACCGTAAATTTTAACAAGCTATGAGCTGTTATATATTTTAGTGTAATTGGAAAAACTACGACCAATGGTATCCTAATAATCATCAAAGAAGTTTGGTGGTGCGGAGTGCACGCTTCATTGAGTTTGTTACGATATAAAACCCGTTGCACCGGGGGTTCCAAGGGGGCAGCGCACCCTTGGCGGGGGTTCGGGGGCAGCGCCCCCGAGCAGGGTTCAAGGGGCGGCAGCCCCTGCGGGGTCCAAGGGGCAGAGCCCCTGGCTGGGGTCGATACTATGTTAAAAAATTCAATTAGAATTTTGATTTCGAATTTTCTTTAAAAGAAAAATTCGTATGGATAGGACCGAATTTGAAGAAGAAACTTCCGCGCGAAAAATTGCGTGCTTTGGGTAATAGCCGCGAATGGTGTTTTCTCCTTCTCACCCCTAGTCTATAAAATCTCGCTGGGCATGGTCGAAATGATGTTCGGTTTTTACACAGCAATTCTCATATTTCGTTTTTGATACTTTCGAGTTTTATCCGATTGAATTTTGGAGTGAACAACCAAAATATTCAATCTGAAAGTGTTTACACAACTCTCCATCCAAGTTATGATTAATTTCCCAGCAACGTGGGCGGCATGTGGATTTTTGGCAGCAACCACCACGATGGCAACCCCCAATTTTGGTGTCGGCAGTTGGTTTCGCCTGATGTGTCTAGAACTTTATGAAAGGCCGTCAATTTGGGCAGTGCCACATCGGTGGCTAGCTCCAACCACGTGAATGGTAGATCCAGTAGGGGTGACGGTGATCAACTTCCTCTATTTGCCACATAACTTCGGATTTTAACAGCGGCTGGTCAGTCACCGCAGTGATGGAATTGGGCGGCTCCAACGATCTCCAGCTGTTGCCGGGGTGGATTGCAGCGGCGGCGGTGGATCTGAGCAGCAGCGGCGGGTTAGAGCAGTGGAGGCCGCAATGGAATTGAGCAAAGATTGGTGCTTTATCACCGGCAAGCATCAATGGTGACGTGGTAGCATCAATGGTGTTGTCTTCTTCTTTCTTTGCCCCTTTTTTTCGTAAAACTGAAAGAGTCAGAACATATGTTCTGTTTCTCCCCCTTTTAGTTCCTTTTTTGCCATTTGAAGCATACCCACTCTCTCTTTTTTTTTTGTTTCTCACACTTTAGGCTGTGCAAGATGGCCGAACAAAGATGAAGTTTTTTGTTCGGGTCCCACGGGGTGGCGCCAAAATGATGGTGTAAATTATCGACCGGTATATCGTTTTAGCCCGGCAAAAATGATAAACTAGTCAAAAAAATACACCAAACTATAAACACAGGAATTTTTACGTGGAAACCCAAATCGGGAGAAAACCACGGGCCTTTTTTGGCGGTACCTTGCCAATGGGAGATTTTTATTAATATCGGGGGTGTGTACACGGTACAAGAATCGGGCTCAGAAGCCATTAATGGTGGAGCTACAAGCTCTTTAAGAAGAAAATATATAAAACTCTAGAGAGAGAAAGTATAATGGGCAGGGAAGAGAGTGAGTTTGGCCTCCCCATCAAATTGGGGGCACCCCTCCTTTTATAGGAGGGGGAGGAGCATCTTCGGGGAATATTCTCTTATTCCTCCATTTCATTAAACAGGTCCGGTTTGACTGTTCTTCGTAAATAATTGGGAAATGTGGGCCGAGCCACGTATTATTTCCCATCAGGTAGCATATTAATAAAAGTTTCTCTCATATATGGAAAATAAAAAAAAAGTACTCCATCCATCCAAAAACTTTCTTCCTCAGAGCATTATTCCAACTTCACGGGAATTTATATTTATTTGTGTTTTTTCATGACCTATATGATAAAATAAAATATTCTTGTCACCACTTGTTTTGTTGAACTTTTGATGTAGTTTTTAAATATGTATGTTTTATTTTATTTTTTATTTCTATACCAATATTTAAATAAAATAGATTGAAAAAATTTGAGAATTTTCTTCGTTTTGCGAGCCGGGAAGAAAGTTTTAGGACGAAGGAAGTAATACTTTTGAGAAAAATAATTTAGTGGAATTTGTTATTATTATTATTATTATTATTATTTTGTTTTAAGAATTTAACTTGCACGTTAAAAGGAAAGAAAATGATATTTTTTGGGAAAATGCTATGTGTACCCCGGTTTTGTACACCAGGGGTACACCATATAAAAGGCCAACCCCCCACCCCCATATCCCTCTCACCCACCCAGTCTCTTCTCTCTCTCTGTCTATTCCGATCAATTGCACCAAGCCCCCCTCTTCTTCGCGGGAGCCCTCTTCTTCGCCGGTCAACAATTCTGCACCCATTCTCCGTCTCACTCCCGTACCCAAAAGCTCCAGCCTTCATAGCTTTTCTCATCCTCGCATAGTCGCATCTGCCCTGTTCATCTTCCTCTTCCACCATCTTCATCTTCCTTTTTCATTTGCGACGTCACTCCAAATGGCCTTCAAGTTTACACTTCCGCTCCGGTAAATCAAATTTTTATTTGGTTTTTGACATAAATCAAATTTAATTTTGTTCATTGCTAGATCTAATTTTTTTCACTGGTAACTTGTAGAGGGTTAGGTGTTTGTTATTTTTAAGGGCTTTGATTTAGTTCACTCATCTCCTCTTGTATTTTTAATTTTGATAAAAAATGTTTTTGTTGCATTAATCTCTTTGAATACAACACTCACAGACAATTAGTGTTTATGGTTTAGCATTCACAAACAATAAATGTCTATGAATGTCGCAGCTTACTCCTCCAGCTATTGTGTCTACTCAGATTGCACATGAATCCCATGAGAGTGCAATTGGAAAAAAATGGCATCAGACTTGGAGTATCACTTTGACTACACCAAATCCTTCTTAAAGTTTGGTTAGGAGGTACTAGAAATATAAGATAAATCATATTTACTCATGTATCATTGTAATTGAATAAATTTTCCTTGTTTATATTGGGGTTAAGAATGTGTTTTTGCAAGGTATTGTCGAAGAACTTCTGTCGTCCACATATATTAAATGAATTATATTCTATTTTTGTTTAAACTCCTTATTTTAACTAAGATGACAAACCATTTTGTTTGTATCTTGTCTGTGATATTACCTTTACCTTTACAGTTTGTGCAAACAAATGACTCTTTAATTTTATTATTTTTTAATTACTTTTGTATATTATTTGTGCAGGTTATCAGTGACAT